TTTTTTGTGTACTGGCCATGTAATACTCTGCCTTGCCATGTCTCTTTTCTATTCTTCATTTGGTCTTATAGGCCAGTTTGGTTTCTTTGGTATTCAGTAACCTTTCATGGTGTACTAGCTTCAGTGCATCTCCTTTACTGTCCTCAGATATTCTTCCAATGCCCTTTTTTCTTCTTCAACTGTCTGGTGTACTTGTAACATTCCATGCCCACCTATGCTCCCTGGTAAGTAGAGTTTCTTCCAATGCCCTTTTTTCTTCTTCAACTGTCTGGTGTACTTGTAACATTCCATGCCCACCTATGCTCCCTGGTAAGTAGAGTTTCTTCCAATGCCCTTTTTTCTTCTTCAACTGTCTGGTGTACTTGTAACATTCCATGCCCACCTATGCTCCCTGGTAAGTAGAGTCTATCAACATTGCTGTGTTTTTGAAGGACATGATACATTGTCATTATTTTTCTGGTCTTCCTATCCAGGGCTTTTAGTTCAGCTTGAGTCCAGTCCACTATTCCAGCTGTATATCTACTGACTGGAATTGCCCAGACGTTAATCAGCTTGATCATATTTCCACCACTGAGTTTGGACTTTAAGATCTTCCACACTCTTCTGATGTATTCACTACTAACCTTCTTCTTGACTTCAGTGTGCTTGATGTTGTCAGACTGAAGGATGCCCAGGTATTTGTAGTGATCTTCTTCATCCAGACTCTTGATGTTATTTCCATTGGGCATCTTGATTCCTTCAGTTTTTGCGATTTTTCCCCTTTTGGTGATAAGGGTAGCTCAATTCTCCAGTCCAAGCTCCACTGCAATATCTTGGCTATATATTTGGACAATGTTGAGCAGTGATTCTATTTCAGGTGGTGTTTTTCCATACAGCTTCACATCTTCCATGTAAAGGAGGTGGGATAACCTGGCAGATGTTTTTAATGTTTGATACTCATGTCCTGACTTGTTCAGTATTGTTGACAGAGAAATCAGTGCAGTGACAAACAGTAGTGGTGATAGTGAATCTCCTTGAAAGATTCCCCTCTTGATGCTAACCTCTTCCAGTCTATTGCCATTGACCAACAACTGTGTCTTCCATTGTGCCATAGATTTTTGCACAAAGCTTCTGATGTTTCTGCTGACTCCTGTTATTTCTAGGCACTTGATTATCCAGTCACATAGCAGGGAGTCGAATGCCTTCTTGTAATCAATCCAAGCTGCATTCAAGTTGGTCTTCCTTCTCTTACAGTTTTCCAAAATCATCTTGTCAGTTAGGAGCTGATCCTTTGTCCCTCCACTGTTCGGGTGGTTTCCTTTCTGCTTAGATGGAAAGAGCTTGTTTTCAACTAGGTGCTGTTGGACCACACCAGTTACCAATTTGAAAGTTGTTGGCAAGCAGGTAATTGGCCTGTAGTTGCTTGGTGCTGCCCCTTTCGCTGGATCTTTCATTATCAGGTAGGT